ACTTGCGGCAACCACATGTGACGACCCCGGGCTGGACTCCACTTCGTCCACGGTGAAAGCCGATCTGGCGATCCACAGCGCGAAGTTGATGTATTTCCTCAGCGACCAGCACAGATCAGCTCCAGGCATGGCGAAGCAGATATCGTCCTCTTTTGGAAGGACAAACAAAGTAGTTTCGCTTTCACAAGGAAACACAGCGTCTCCACGACATGGTTGCGGCGGCAACAACAATACTACAGCGAGAATAAAAGTTACGCCTTATTTCTTTGCGTGAACATTTGGGCGGCGTTATGCAAATCTTCCCACATCGTGACATAGACATGTGGGGGCGTGTTAGAACGAACCGTTTTAGGTAGGCGTGGTTGACTCTTAACTTTTATAAAGAATATCTCTTTGGATTTGAGACTTTAGTCTTTTGAGCTTTACAGATCTTCTTTATGCACCAAGAGCTTGTATCACTCCAAAGAGAAAGGAAAAATGTAAATCGCATCATATGACCCCTTTAAAAGTTTTCTGTTTCAGGTACTGTGTGTGGTATGTTCATCCATTTATACAGGTAATGACAGTTTCTAGTCTTTGTACACCACTTTGAGTTCTTTTTTTTCCACAGGGTATTGCGTATTAACTTTTTTTAGCATTGTGCACATCCCACTCTTTATTTTTTCATTCATTTCATATGATTCATGCATCAGACAAACTCTGCTTTTCTACTCTCTACACGAGGGAAGAAGATTATTGTTAAGTCAACAGTAGCAGGCAAATTGCTGTTAACAGTTTTCCCAAAGGACAGCTGGTCTCCGGTCCACAGGGCGGAGAGCTTAATGATTATTAAAGAAAACTAACGCAGCTTCTAAACCAAAACATGTCCTGCTGTCATGGCTGGCCACACACAAGAAATGCTTCAGAATTATTTAGTCTATCTCCCAACATCTAAGAACCTCAGTAATTAATCATCCCATATCTCCACTGATTACATTTGGCAATTTGACCTGTTTCTACATATAGCAATGATC